TTTCACAGAGGCAAGCCTTGACTTGAGATCCTACTGCCTTAGCCTCCCAAGTAGCTAGGATTAAAGATATTTGCCAACATACCCAGCTTAGGGACTTTTCTTGTTCTGGTCTCAGACTAGGGTATCTAGCTCCCCCAGATAAAAGCTGCAGTGTATTGAGTCCCTGACCTTGAGCTCTGCTGGCCTGAATTAGGAGTGGAATAGTCCAAGGGAAGCCTACTACCACACCTATATCCCAGCAGCCCAATTCATCCATGTTTCTCTCTTTTTTCTTTTCTTTCTGTGACTACCCTCCTCCACCTCCCCTGCCCTTCTTTCTTTTAAATGAACCCAGGGTTGCTGTACCACTGAGCTACATTCTAGGCCCTTTTTAAAAAATTTTATTTTGAAACAGGATCTCACTAAATTCCCCAAGTTGGCCTGGAACTTGTCATTCTCCTGCCTTAGCATCCCCAGTAGCTGGGATTACAGGAAAGTGCCACCACATGCCAGGCTTCTTGATGCTGCTTGACAATATGATGCTAAAAGTACCACCCACATCCTTTCTGACTAAGAAGTCAACATGGTTCCCGTGGAGTAGCAGAGGTGCAAGGGAGGGAAAGAGTTAAGACTCAGAATAATCTCAATTCTTTTTTTTTTTTTTTAATTTTTTAGTTGTTGATGGACACAATATCTTTATTTTTTATGTGGTGCCAAGAATCGAACCCAGTGCCTCACACATGCAAGGCAAGCACTCTATCACTGAGCTACAACCTCAGCCCAATCTCAATTCTTAACAAGTAAAATCTACCCAGGGAATTTCAGAATGAGGAAAGCCTCTAGCTATTGTAAGAACTAACAGATTTCTTTCTACCCTTCCCATTAATGTCATACTGGGGGAATTCTTTTGCTCAAGCTTCAGTGATGTAAGGGTCCCTCCTTTCTTGTTAGTCTCCTGTTAGGCACATACAATTTGATTTCCTCAATAATCAGAGACTCATTTAGGAAATGGAATTTCCTAAAGAGATTATTTAGTCTTTTCTTCCAATTTTCTGAATACATGCTACTTACTTTCCTTATGATTTCTGGAAAGGCTTTTTCCTTTCTACTTTCAACTGAGAGCTGAACCCAGTAAAGGCCCTAACTCAGGAAGATTGAGGTCTTTACCTTCTTAGAGTGGAAAGAACTCTTTCTCATTCCCATCTGAGAGGTTCTATTGCTTGACCAGATTCTATAAATTATTCAGAGGAACCAAGGGAAAGCCTTTCCTAGGAATGACTTTTAGTTTTTCTGTGTTCACTTAAGGAGGAAAATTTTTTTTTTTCCCATAGACTAAATACAGCTGCATGGATTTATCAGCCCTATTGCACAGCTCCAAGCAAGCCTGGAAGTTCTCCACAGATCTGACTAGTCCTTGTGTTTTGACCATTCCCAGTGGAGTTAGCTAGGTCAAAGCAGAGCCTGTGTTTCTGTCTCACATATCCATATACTATTCCCTTATGCAGATTCTTGTGTTGAGAGTATGATCCCATTGAGGAGGAGGAGGAGGAGGAGAAGAGCTGAAAACTTAATGTTGTTTTTAAATATTTATTGTCATTTGGGGGGGGATGGTTCTTGAATCCAAAAGAAGAGTCATGAGTCTGGTCTACTGCTGGACTACATCACGTTAACCCAGGAACTCGACGTTCACAACATGAAAATGACTCAGTCCTCAGAATGGGTCCAAGATCTTCCCTTTTTATAGCCTCTAGGGGGCTGTGGAACTGACACAGTTTTCCCCTCTCATTGTTTTCACTTCCCATGAGTTCAGCAGATCAGCCAGGAATATTCCCCTCCCCTCCAGACCAAAGACCTTTGCTGGGAGGAGGCAAAAACTTCACCAAACTTTTGACCTCCCTAAAGGTAGACTGGTAAAGCAGAACTTCTGATTTGCACATCAGCTCTTGGAAGGATACTGATTTTTTTAACCCCTTTATTTATTCATTTTTATGTGGTGCTGAGGATGGAACCCAGTGCCTTGCACATGCTAGGTAGCGCTCTACCACTGAGCCCCCTAATCATTTAATAGTAACTAGCTATTGACTTAATGATGGGTCATAACAGGGTTGTCAACACCAGTCTACTGCACACTCTGCCAGTGCCTGGCTGACTGGTCCCAGCCTTCATATCCATGGTATTCATGGTAGGAGGCTTATTCTTAGAAACCAATGAACTGAGTTGGCTGTGACAAGCAACTAAGCAGCTACTGAGCTCCTGAGCACCAGGAGGTCTACCTCATAGTTAATAAAATTTCAACAGCCTTATTTACTTCATTTTCTAGCTCACTAATTATTAGAAAAGAGGGGATAGACTGCTACAGGCAGACCCAGTAATGGCAGAGCAAAGCAATAGCAGTAATACACTTGGTATCATTGGGGCAATGGTTCCAGGATCCTTTGTGCCCCCAGATACCAAAATCCATGCGTGCTCAGGTTCCTTATATAAAATGAATAGTAATTGGATCTTCCTATAGCTGTAAATCATCTCTGGATGATTACTATAATACCTAATACAAAGTAAATGCTATGCAAATTGTTATACAATATTGTTTTAAAATTTGTATTATTTAACTCTGTATTATTTTGCATTGCTATTTTTTATTATTCCACCCCCCCTGAAATATTTTTAATACACGATTGGTTGAACCTGCAGATGCACAGAGCCAACTGTAATACTTGCCATCACGGGAAAAAATACTTTATTCTTGATTTCTAAGAATAAGTCTTGGGGGAAAAAAACAGAAATTACCTCCTCACTATGCACCTGTACGTATAGCCAATCTGAACAGTTTAACACTGCAGAGGCCCCAAACAAGCACTTCAACATATTTCTCAAATTGCACAGCAATTTAGAAACACAAAGCAGCCCCAAACCTCTCTAATAGCCTTGAGAATATGTTCATAGGGGAGAACTGCACAATATTTTTAACATTAACTTGTACTCATTAAGAAAAACTTACAATACAGTATTGTGAAAATTAGTCAAACAAAATTTAAAATAATTTCTACATAAATTAGAATCTGGTTAAATGAGACTATTTTTGAACCTATAGGGATAAGCTTCAGTTGTCTAAAAAATTTATTTAGTTAATTAGACTATTAATTCCAGTAACCCAGCCAGGTCAACTGGATAACAGACACATATCTGCAGAAGAGTCTCTGCTCTCCAGGAGCTTACAGCAGAAAAGGAAAGAAAAGCATGCAAGATGGCAGAGGGAAGGCCACACTGCTACCAGAGAAGAGGTGTGGGTGTTTTGAAAAGGAATAAGCATTGCCTTATGGGCTTGAATTTTATCTATTTATTCTTTCTTATCAGGGTGCTCCAAGAAATCAAATAGGATGACTTCTGTTGCTTCAAATTGTACTATCTCCAAATGTGATAAGGGGGCCTTCAACTAGTGTCCCATTTCATACAGAATGTCCCTTAAGCTCCTAGTGGGGCCTTTGTGAAACCTTTTTGCACTTCAATTTTGTCTACAAAGTCCCTTCCAGGAAACATGTGGCTCAGACCTGATGTCAACATCCCCTCTTTATACATTCTAAAAGAGAAGAATTCTAGCCAAGCACAGTGGCTGTATATCCAGCAACTTTGGAGGCTGGGCCAGGAGGATCATGAGTTCAAAACCAGCCTCACCAACTTAGTGAGGCCCTAAGCAACTTAGCAGGACCCTGTTTCAAAATAAAAAGGGCTAGGGATGTGGCTCAGGGGTTAAGCTGCTGGAACAAACTGTTGAGAGTATCCTTTCTAAATCTATTCCATGTACCATGAAAGACACAGTGGCTGAGTGAGACATTTTTAAGTATTAATAACAAAGGAAACTCTTGGGCAAAAGGCTCAAGAGTTGCCCAGTGCAGTGGTGCCTGCCTGTAATCCCAGTGGCTCAGGAGGCTGAGACAGTAAGGTTTTGAGTTCAAAGCCAGCCTCAGCAACGGTGAGGTGCTAAGCAACTCAGTGAGACCATGTCTCTAAATAAAATACAAAATAGGGCTGGAGATGTGGCTCAGTTGGTTGAGTGCCCCCAAGTTCGATCCGTGGTACAAAAAAAAAAAAAAGGCTTAAGAGTTATTAGTCTAGACGGGCAGGCCCTTGGCCAGCAGATCGACACTTTGGGGTCCAGCTGTCTAATCACTGTGCTTTATTTATTTGTTTATTGATTTAGTGGTATTGGAGATTAAACCCAGGGGGACTCTTCACACTGAGTTACAACCCCAGCCCTTTTTATTTTTTAGCAGGGTCTCACTAAGCGGCCAAGGCTGGCCAAACCTGTGATTCCCCTGCTTTAACCTCCTCAATAGCTGGGATTACATTTGTGTGCTACTGAGCCTGACCTGTTGTTTAAATTTAAATCTCAGGGCTAGAAATTTTGACTCAGGTAAAGAACTAAAATATTTCTGTGATTAAGGTAGTATTTCTCAAACCTCCTACAGGCAAAGAACGTGTACTCTTGAGGAGCCTGAGCTATATTTTTAAGCTGCTTTCTGTTAAATGGGAAATTTCTTTGAAGTGTCACATCTCATTCACTTCAATTCATGAGAATTTTACATCTTATTCCAGAATACATCAATAATTTCCCCTGAAATCTGTGTAAAATCAACACTTTAGAAAACGAGCCCTTGTCCATCTTATGGTTTCTCATAGCTCAATTTGAAAAATAGGTACCAGAAGATACCTTCACTGAAGTTACCAAAACAATTAATTTGGCATCTCAAGAACTCCTAAGAGGAGATTCTTAGCATAAGAATTAAGACTTATATATTTCTTTCTATATCCTTACTTTGTTATAAAAACTGAAACAAACCACAATAGAAACATGTTCAAAACAGTCTCCATAGAAGTCCAAGAGACTGTTCAGTCTTCAGCGTACTTTGGCAGTGATGCAAATGAGACAATAGAACTGTCTCACTCAGCTAGAATTGAAGTTACAAGCAAGGAAATATATGTATTAGATAGAAAAAGAAAAAAAAAATAAGGGTGAGACTTACTTTAAAATCTGCTAATTGTTGGTTGATGACATCCACTTCAGTCCCCACTATCCACTGGAGTGCCTCTCCCTCCTCCGCTGCTGTGGTTGCATCATTAAGTACTTTCAATTTTCTATAGAAGTCCTCTACTCGACCCAATGTTAGCTCCAGCTGTTCTTGGCGAGCTTTCCCCCTCTCTGTCAGTTTGCCACACTGTTTATTCAGGGCTTCCAGCTCCCTCTTGAGACCTAACAAGTCCAGAGTCCCCTCTTCTTCTAGCATTTGTCGGCACTCTGCTTCAGAGGCCTCTATGTCAAACTTGAGGGACTGGATTTTGTTCAGAAATAGCCGTACATCCTCAATTTGGGATTGGAGGCTATCCGTGTCTCTGCCAATAGCACCCATGCCATCTAGCTCATCATCCAGGTCTGCCAACTGAGAAAACATCTCTCGGACTCGGCAGTGAAACTGGCCAATGCCCTCCAGCTTGTTTTCCATTGTCATGCAACCACTGTTCACTCTCTGTTTCACTTCTAGGAACTCTTGCTGAGTGACCTCAGCTTGATGTAGAAGTTGGGACACATCAGATCCATTTGGGGCATCTTCTACCAGCCCCTGAGTGAAATTCCTCAGATAGTCCACTTGAGGCTCCAGTGCCTGCAGCACTTCCTGTTGAGCTCTTAGCTTCTCCAGGTTCTTGTTGCTACAGGCTTGAGAGCCCAGAGCATCAAAGATTTCAAGTTGGTGTTTGGCTCCTTCAACCTTTCTTTCAATATTCTTAAAGCTTTCCTGAAACTCCTTGAGCCTCTGAGTCATTTCTTCAAGCAACCCAGTTTTGGCCTGCAGCTCTTCTGTAATGGCATCCATATTCTGGTTGATCTCAGCCTTCTCATCCCGGATACCATCCTCATCGGTTTCTGAAAAGTTAATCAGAATGTCAGCAGCACTATTCAGTATTTCCAGCAGGGAGCGGCGCTTTTCCACCTCACTCAGCATAGCCTTTGCTCTCAAGAGACTGGATTCTAGTTGCACTGGATCCAGAGTGACCTGCAATTCAGACATCTTGGCTTTACAATCTTCTATCCATGGCACAAGGTCTTCCACATGCCACTGATACTTCTGAGCTTTCTGCATACAGTCCTTGAGCCTGGATTGTCTGTCTGCAGTTTTTTTGCTAAGCTCTTCCCAGTGGCTTTTGAGTTCAACCAACTGGTTTTGTAAAGTCCTTTTCTCTTCTCCAGGGGGTACAGAAAGCAGCAGAGATTCCCCCTCGGCCACAATCACTTCATAGGAACCACTGTGTTGATTAAGGCTTTTCTGAAACTCTTCATTCTCCTGTAGTTGAGACTGTAGCTGCTCCAGTTTTGCAGAAATTGGGCAGCTTTTTGCTTGCTGGCTTTGTTTGTCATCCAACCAGGTCTTCAACTCATCAAACATTTGCTGGAACTGCTGGGTGCTGGCAAGAGCTGACTGGAGTCTGTTCATGCGATCGGCTGAAATGAGAAAACAAAACTGAAATCAATCAAGCCTGAACATGGCATTAAAAATGTTTGTTGAGAGTAAACGGTCTAATCTTAAGGGAAGGGAAACAAAGGTTAATTGAGAATCTACCATAAAAAAGACATACAGTTAGGCTCCTTCACACACTATATCTTATTTAAGATCAACTTTGTAAGGTGACTTGATTACTTCTAAGCTAGTGGAAACTGAAAGTCATAAAAATTTACAGAAAAAGAGGCAATAAATCAATGATAAAATTTGTCTTATGTAAGGTCATCATAAGAAGTCCAGAGTACATTTTCACTTTGCATATATAGGGTATGAGCTCAAGTATGTGTGTACCTGTAATATAAAGAAAAGAAGTATTAGTGAAAGTGTGCAAGTAACTCCACCTATTAGTACATCTATGGGCATGAGAGGCTACCTGTTGGCTGACTTTGAATCAGAGTTTTTATCTCTAGGACTGTGCTATGTAAAGTTCCAGATACTGCCAGAGTTCAGTGTGCAATAACTACAGCAGTTCTCACTGTCACTGGAAGAAGGAACAGGTTAACACTATTCTGAATCCAAGAGCTACTCCAAGTCATTTTAGATTCTTGGATCTACTACTAAGCCATTCCTTTTTTCTGTTGCCACTAATAATGGCAAGAGTATGTTCCGCACCCTAACTCACCTGCAAGGTCTTCTAAGCCTTGGAGTGGCAGGGTGACTGTCTCCAAACGCTTCTTCAGCTCATCCTTGAGGTACTGCTCACCAATGAGCACAGAGAGTTCATCACACAGTGTTTGAGCCTCCTTTATCTCATTGTCTAATTGTTCCAAGTCAGATCGAATCTCACTGGTCTCCTCCAATTGTTGTTTTACAGCCTCAGGTTGGGTGCTGATGGCTGACTGGCCACTCAGTCGCTGTCCAACTGCCTTCACTTTTTCTGATAAGTCCTGGAGCAGTTCTTGGTACTGGGTGCTTTTAACAATAGCTTGGTCAATTTGGCTGGAACGGGAATTGAGTTTGTCAGTCAGCTCGACCCACTTCTGATTGATGCTTTGGAGTTCTTTCTGTACTTGGCTGGTAGATGGAGATACATCTCCAGGACCTGTTAGTATGCCCTGAGCTGCCTCATTCAGCTGCTCGTGCTGTTGCTTGCGTGTTTCAAATTCTTTCAGCATAAACTAAAACAGAAATGACATCAAGATGTTTAGACAGAGAAAACACCTAAAAGCAGTGTCAAAACAAAAACTGATTCTAGATTGTGATAGCCCCTTCTAAAAATAAGCCAGAAAATAAGGACCAGGCTATCATTATTATTTTTTTAAGCCAGTCAAAATTACTGTTTTGTTTTGAGGGAAGGTGTACTAGGGATTGAACCCAGGGGCACTTTACCACTGGGCTACATTCTTAATCCTTTTAAAAATTTCCCTATTTATTTTATTTTGAGACAAGTTCTCACTAATTTGCTGAGGCTGGACTCAAATTTGCAGTCCTTCTGCCTCAGCTTCTTGAGTGGATAGGATTAAAGGCATGTGCCACCACACCTGGCAAAAATTACTGTTTTAATGTAATGGGCTGAGGCAGTATTACTTTTAACAACTGCTTCATAAATAAATATTTTGAAAGGATCATTGATTGCAATTATTTTATTTTTTTCCCTTATTTGTCCTACTCTGTTTTACTAAGGTCGGCCTGGGCTAGGAAACCAGATTGGTGTTTATCAGCTTTGCCATGCAAATACCAGTCCTCTGAATCTGGAGTCTGGAATAGTGGGTCCCAGACCTACTATATTACTGGTTGGGCTTGCCATTTCTACTTTCAATGCCACTGCTTTTTTTGGTTTCTTTACTGGAATTCCTACAGTACCTGTGATCTATATATTACAACGTAGCAAAATTAGATAAAGGGTTATATAAAGCAAGGCACATGTCTTCTAATTTGTTTTCTATCCTCTACCCATCTCAGAAAAGATATTAGGATTACAGGCTCTGGTGCCAGAGTGCCTGAGTTCAAATCCTGACTCTCTAAACTCACCAGCTGTATAAGTTTAGGTGAGTTTTTAGAAATTCTTTGAATCTCAGCTTCCTTACTAGTAAGATGGGGATAGCAAAATATTTAACATGGCTGATGAGATAATTTGTGGAAAGCACTCAGCATTTACAAAATACAAAAATAAGACATGATCAAGAAAAACAAATATGTAAAGAATAAACTAATCCCAGCAGCTTGGGAGGTTGAAGCAGGAGGATAACGAGTTCAAAGCCAGTGTTACCAACAGTGAGGCACTAAGCAACTCACTGAAACCCTGTCTCTAAATAAAATACAAAATAGGGCTGGAGATGTGGCTCAGTGGTTACGTGCCCCTGAATTCAATCCCCAGTATCTGCCCCCACAAAATAAACTAATAAAATGCAGTAAAATTAAAAAATGATAAAAACATTGACATAATATAACAAATTGCTATGAAAGCACAGAGTAAGAGTGATTAAGACTAGTCATGACAAAAGGAAGAATGAGATGTTCCATAAGTGACAATAAAGAATGAACAGGGGCTGGGGTTGTGGCTCAGTGGTAGTGCACTTGCCTACCATGTGTGTGGCACTGGATTCAATCCTCAGCACCACATAAAAATAAATAAACAAATCTAGATAATTTCTAAAAAACAAAAGAATAAACAGGAACACCTATAATCCAGCAACTCAGGACAGGAGGATTAAATTTGAGACCAGCCTTGGTCACATAGTGAATAGGAATTTCCCAAGCAGAACAGAGAGGCTGGTGAAGGGTCCTCCAGGGGAAGGCCTAGCAAAGGCACAGAGCCATCTGGGTGTGACATGTTTGAGAAAATTATCTGGTGTAGGTATAAGACTGGGCATATGAGGATGGAGCTGGAAATGACAAACTAGACAAGCTGGGACCAGACTACGAAAGCCTAGTTATTTGGATTTTGTTTAATAGCCAGCCAAGAGTCACTGAGCATTTTAATATCCCCAGATATGTGATTTAAGGAGATAATTTGGTAACCAGCGGTGGGATGGAGGGAAAGCCCATTAGGAGGCTCTTCTTATGTTATAGTCCAGAGAGCAAGCCTATGACAGGATGGATAAAAAAATCAGAATACGGATCAGGGACCCCAGCAATGCCTAGGCCCTTTCAAGAAGTCCACAAGCCAGGTGTGGTGACCCACACCTATAATCCCAGAAACCCAGGAGGCTGAGGCAGAAGGATTTCGAGTTCAAATCCAGCCTCAGCAACTCAGTGAGACCCTATCTCTAGATAAAATATAAAAAAGGGCTGAAGATGTGGCTCAGTGGTTAAGCATGCCTGGGTTCAATCCCCCGGTACAAAAAAAAAAAAAACCCCAAGAATTCTACAAGGTCAAACCTATTTTCATAATAATACTAAGATGTTAACTGTCATAAATGTTCAATAAAATTTCTCAGAGACTACCTGATGTCTAATATTACAACAGACTGAACATGTTACGTATGTTAATGTGATGGTTTTATCATTGCTATTTTTAAATGAATATATATTTTAAAAATTTCTATTTTAATACAGTAAATTAAATATCAATAGATAAAATACAAACTCTATAGATCCTCAATATCTATTTTTTTTTTTTTTTTTGGTACCAGGGATTGAACTCAGGGGTACTCAACCACTGAGCCATATCCCCAGCCCTATTTTGTATTTTATTTAGAGACAGGGTCTCACTGAGTTGCTTAGTGCTTTGCTTTTGCTGAGGCTGGCTCTGAACACGCAATTCTCCTGTCTCAGCCTCCAAGCTGCTGGGATTACAGGCATGTGCCACCGCGCCTGGCAATCCTCAATAACTTTTAAGAGTATAAAAGAGTTTGAGAACAAAAACCTTGAAAACCACTGAATTAGAAAAATATTTGTAAGTAGATTAACCAGGGCTCAAAAATTATTTGAATGCAGAGCCCAAAAAGTTTCCTTCAGAAAGTACTCTTAGTTTTAGGTAACCTGGTGGGAGGGGAGAAGAAATATAAGAGTTTGGGGAAGAAGTAGAACTAGGAAAAAATTCTAGGCAGAGTTTCATTGGAAGTGACATGATTTTGATCAACCTAAATTCTATAATGTTAGGCATAATATAAATCAACTTTTTTGAGGTTTGGCCAGTAAAAAATCTTTAAAACCAGCAGATATATTATATTAAGTAATATGTATTACTACCATTGAGGATTAAAAATAAATTATTCTATAATTTCACCAGGAAACATTTTTTTCATTCTTGTATCTACCTCTTACTGCCTCTATTAATGATATTAATAATAGTTATTGACTATTTACTATGATAAACACTTCATAAGCATCTCATTAAAATTGAGGAAAAGTACCAGGCTGGTTGCCCATGCTTATAATCCCAATGACTCTAGTGGCTGAGGCAGGAGGATCACAAGTTTGAGGCCAGCGTGGGGAACTTAATGATACTTTGTTTCAAAATAAAAAATAAAAAGAGTTGGGGATGTAGTTCAGTATTAAAGTGACCTTGGGTTCAATCCCCAGTACTAGGAAAAAAAGTATTGAGGAAAACACTGAGAAGTTAAGTGACTTGTACAGGGTCATATGAAATTTTCTTGCTGGGAGCAGGATTCAAACCCAAATTCACATGGCTCAAATTTCCGTGCTCTAAAGCATTAAGCTACACTGCTTACCTGGACCTGCTGCTTTTGTGCATTCAACATATTAGGGTCAATAGACAAGGGGCCCAGGACTCCCATCATCAGTTCCTTTTCCATTAGCCAGGGCCGGAGCTGGGATTCTGCAGCCTGGAAGCAGGCCAGATGGCTTGCAGATTCCTCTAGCTGCTTTTGCCGAGTCACAGTCACCTCAGTGGCCCTTTCCCATCGGGAATCTGTAGAGAAGAAATGAGATAATATAGATCTTTACTATCATCAGTAACTGACACGATCCCTAAATTAAATTCCTAATATATTACAAGAAATGACCCCAGGAGTATTATTTAACATTTTTTAAAATAAAAAAATAACCCTTTAAAAATTTTAACTAAAGAAATACAAACAATTGTGTATTTTCATTGGGGTAGTGGTTACATGAAACTACATGTAATAAAATTGCACAAAACCATACACATATGCAAAATATGCTGCATATATTATTTTATTGCCTGCTTAAAATTTACTGTATAATAAACATTTTCATGCCAATATTCATTTATACTATTTACGATTTATGTTATGAACATATATTATTATTCATGATGTTGAATATGTAGATTTCCTATCTTCAGTGGTCTCTTTAGTTTTTGATGAGAGTAGACTACCAATTTGACTGCCATAGAAAGCCACAATTCCAACTCTGAATAGAATTTCTAAAACTTTTCCCTATTCAGATTCATTCTCTGACACTGCATGGGCCTCTTGTTTACAAAAATTAATTAAAATTAATTCCTACTTTATAGGATGTGCTGAAATTCTGTTTGCTTTAGACACAAGCAATTTAGTGAATGTGAAACAACCCTGTGACAACATACTGAGCTCTTCTTCAATTTTCTTCCAATTTTCTGCTTCTTGTGAGTTGGGATACGTCATCAGTAATTCAGCTAAAGCTTGCTTCACTTCTTGGACCTTTGGAGAATTCTGTTCCAATTCAGCTAGGAAGGCCTAAGAAAAATATCACACATACCATCAGATTCTAGAAAGGAAACAAAGTTGTGATTAGAATAGAAGATTGACTGGGTGGCAATTATAGTCTCTTCTCTGATGATTTTATTTATTTATTTATTTGGGCAGAAAGATCTTCTCTGATTCTATCCAGACTTGATTTGTGGGTTTTTTTTTTGTTTTTTGTTTTTGGTACTAGGGATTGGTACTAGGCAGTAAACCACTAACCCACATCCCCAGTCCCATTTTGTATTTTATTTAGAGACAGGGTCTCACTGAGTTGCTTAATACCTTGCTTTTGCTATTGCTAGCTTTGAACTCATATTTCTCCTGCCTCAGCCTCCTGAGCCACTGGAATTACAGGTATGGACCACCATGCCCAATAGTACTTAATCTTTCAATATTTACTTTAAAATAAAGTCAGGGCGGTAGAGGAGGGCAATGAGAGCACATGCCTATAATCCCAGTGACTCAGGAGGCTGAGGCAGGAGGATAATAAGTTTGAGGCCAGCCTCAGCAATTTAGCAAGGTCCTAAGCAATTTGGTGAGACTCTGTCTCAAAATAAAAAATAAAAAGGGCTGGGGATGTTGCTCAGTGGTTAAGCATCTTTCGGTTCAAGTCCCAGTATTTAAAAAAAAAAAAAAAATTCTAGATAGCAGGATTTAAGTTTATTTAAGTACATCAATGAAACTCAGTAAGTAGTAATTATCACTTCTTATTAGCTAAAAGTGCCAAGATGTGATGACGACTACATTTCATTAGTTAGCAATGATATGTGATGTTCAACTGGAGCATTATTTTCTGGTACCACCTGCAGTTTTAAGAATGCACTGTAATCAGTTTTTTTGTTTTTTGTTTAATATTTATTTATTCATTTATTTTTAGTTATAGGTAGACACAGTGTCTTTATTTTTTATTTTATATGGTGTTGAGGATTGAAACCAGCGCCTCACGTATGCTAGGGGAGAGTTCTACCGCTGAGCCACAACCCCAGCCCTGTAATCAGTTTTTTAGGTCCCTCTAAGAGTTGGAAAAGTGCTTCAGAGAATGGTTTAGCTCTCTTGTAGCATCACATAAAACATCTTTAAGTAATCCCTTTTTCAATGTGCTAATACTTTGGGGGAAGTCTAGTCTCTTTCTGCAAACTGGTTTTGTTTCTGAATCTAATTTATAACAACTTTTAATTTTGTTTCTGAATCTAATTTATAATAACTTTTAATTTCACAGGTAAAAAAAATTCTCTGGGAGAGGTTGGGCATGTTAAACATTTGGAAGTCAAATATAATGTTTATCGCAGCCTGGGATGTTGGCCATATCTCACGCTTAGGTCCCTGGGCTAGGGAAAGAAACAGGTGCAGCAGAGTATGCCTCTTAGTGTTGGGATGCAACTAATGTAAACACAATACCTTATTAGATTCAGCTTGTGCCTTCACTGTTTCTGTCTTGGTTGGAGACAAAGAGGCATCCATGGCTTTCAGGACCTCCTCTTTTGATTCTAGCCACTGCAGCACTGAGCGTGCCTCTTTCTGAACTTCCTCCATTCTGCTGAGGACAGCTTGAAGGCTTTCCTGGCGTTCCCGAAGTACTCCACCTAGTTTCTCATACTTCAAGTTTACATCTGACAAGTCACACTGTATCTCCGTCAGATCTAGTATCACAGAAACAGAAATCAGACTGGGAATGGCTCTCCCCTTGGTTTCTCACTCCTAAATTATCTGTTAGGATTAAGCATCTTTCCTACTCCTCCTAGTGAACTAGTGAGTATCTTCCTCCTAGATCACAAAAAATTCTTATTTAAATACACAAAGCAAAAGAGTTCTCATGCTTTCTGATTTACAACAGAATTAAGGGGAGTTAAAAGTAAGAAATCAGCCTTACAATACCAGAGGAATTAATGGACTTGGAGCATTCTTTTGTTCCCCCTTCTCCAAACTAGAGAGGTTACCTAGCTGGGAGGTTAAACACTACACTAGAGATTACCTCTAGAATAGCTTCTTTATAATTCAAAGATTCACATGTGTTTTCTACAAGGTCTTTCCTCATTGGCCTTATCTGATAGTTCTGTTTATTTTCTCAGTACCCTTTAGATATAGGGCTGCCAACCCAGTTAGCCCAGAGTCAGCTGCTCCTCCCCAGGTTTTCACCCTCATGCCCCAACTGGCAGCAGTTGCACATATATTGAAACAAACACAGATGCAAACATGAACACTGTCCTAACACACCCAACAAAGAGGCAGGCACTGTTGAAATGGCATTCTCACCTTTGCAGGTGTGGTATCCGTTTACACTGCCTACAGAGCTTCCTACAGAGGGCAGTATGGAACCTGAGCAGAAGGACAGGGAGACAAACAGGGCAAGACCAACGTGTTAGGAATACATAAAGGCACTGAATTTGTTCTTTGGCATTCACTTTAAGCTTGGGCATCAGGAAGTTAACACAGCACAAGACAACATACTCATGGAAAGAGACAAATCATTTTAGCTGCCAGGCAATAAAGTGTTACTTGAGGTATTTCAGCTTTTAAGTGGTAATGATTCTTAATCCTTTCTATAGGAAATTCCAATTCTTCTTAAACCTCTAACTTGAATTCTTTGGACTCTTCTCTAATTTTTGTGAGGCAAGTACTGTGAAATTATTAAGTCTTTAGAATGAATGGTATCTGCCACATTTTAGAATGTGAATCTATAACAAACCCAAAGAGAGTCACCTTTAATATCAATATCTTTTATTATAATAAAAATAAATAATAGAACAAATTTTAAAAGCACTCCATTTAATAGTAAAGACATAAATGTGAGCCCCTTTATGTTGGTATTCATGAAAGATTGCCTGATTTTTCTTTCATAACTTCTTCTGGCTCCCCTTCCCTTACTAGAAAACAGAAATATAAAGTGCTGATAAATGTGGCTCATAAATATTCCCATAAATTCTGCTTTGGGCCTTTGGGTCTGTTTCTAATTATCACCATTTCACCTACATTCTCCCCATTTTAGTCCCCTATATTTCAGAGGAGCTTCCCAAGTTAAGTGAAAACAAGGTTATGAAATTATACAGAACCTAAGAACAGTCATTATATAGCATTCTAGTGAAAGGACAGAATGGGGCTGGGGATGCAGTTAGCGGTAAAGCATTTGCCTAGCATGCGCAAGGCCCTGGGTCTGATCCTCAACACTACAAAAAAAGAAAAGGGGGTGGAGTGTAAGGACAGAATAAAATTCTTAGGTGCACTGCACTGATTACACTATGCAAAAAGCTAAAATATAATTTAAAAAATAGTTACGATGGTAATTATAAAACTTCAAAATGTTAATGTATTTTCAATTAAAAAATGGATCAAACAGAAAAATTACTTTCCATTACAACATAGTGATGACAAAAGGCAAACTGGACTAGTAATTAGGAGAAAAGGTCCTAACCAAGACTGTCCCTAATTCAGTATGTAAGCCTCGATCTACAAATAGACCTCAGGTTCTTCTCTAGGATAAGAAGATAACATTACCTAGCCTGTCAACAATCATGCTGTTATTGGAAAGACACCATGAGATAACATAGGTGAAAGCACTTTAAAACCCAAAAGACAGAGAAAACATTCGGCATTTTTTTTTTGGGATTGGCTAACATCTTAATTTACTACCTACAACCAATTTTTCTTTTGGGGGCGGGGCAGTTACCAGGGATTGAACTCAGAGGCACTCAACCACTGAGTTATATCCTCAGCCCTATTTTGTATTTTATTTAGAGACAGGGTCTCACTGAGTTGCTTAGCACCTCACTAAGTTGCTGAAACTGGTTTAACTTTTTTTTTTTTTAGTTGTAGATGGACACAATACCTTTATTTTGTGTGGTGCTGGGGATTGAGCCCAGTACCTCACACATTGCTAGGCAAGTGCTCTACCACTGAGCCACAACCCCAGCCCTGTGGCTGGTTTTGAACTCATGATCCTTCTGCCTCATGATCCCTGAGCTGCAGGGATTATAGGCATGTATCACTGTGTCCAGCCCTACTACCAATTTATGCTTTTTAAAAAAAATTTTTTTAAAATTGTCGATGGACGTTAATTCTATTCATCTATTCATATGTGTTGCTGAACCCAGAATTGAACCCAGTGCTTCACACATGCTAGGCAAGTGCTCCACCACTAGGCCATAACCCCAGCCCTTATGCTGCTTTTTATGGGCAAATAAACAGATCTTGCCACCTCTGTGTGAAGTTTTATTTAAGTTTCTTTCTTTTTTTTAAAAAAGAGATTTCTTTATTTTTTTTAAATGGACCTTTATTTTGTTCATTTATTTATACGTGGTGCTGAGAATCGAACCCAGTGCCTCACACATGCCAGGCAAGTGCTCTACCACTGAGACACAACCCCAGCTCCTTATTTAAGTTTCTTTTTCAGTATCTTTGACTGGAAAGGGCTTTACAGAAAACTTCTGTCTAGTACTGTACAAAGAAAAATAGCTACAGTAGATGTGTAATGCATTAAGTGAAATGAATAAAAGTTTTGAGGTATGTCAAAATGAGCAAAGTCTCATGAGGTCAGAATTGTGTAATAATGGAATTCTTAACATTCAGGTCAGAAAAATGTCAGCTTACAGGCAGTTTTTGTCCTCAATGTCAGTTTTAGGTGTTTCCTATGTTTGAGAATATGAGCCCTCATCAAATATTCTTAGCAGCTTAACTGTGCAACAAGAATTTCTTAATACATCACTTTTAAGTTCTCAGTTCAGTTTGATCAAATAGAATTCTAAAGCCCCATCCCCAGTGTGGTGCAGTGGTAGAGCATTTTTGCCTCACATGTGCAAGGTCCTAAGTTCCATCCCCAGTCCTGCCATAAGGGGAAAAAAAATCCAACAACAATAAAACAAAAACAGTATTCTGAGATTGTAAAGTGAACTTTTAAAAATATTTGCCAGGCTGGGGTTGTGGCTCAGCGGTAGAGCACTTGTCTAGCATGTGTGAGGCACTAGGTTCAATCCTCAGCACCACATAAAGTAAAATAAAGACCTTATGTCCACCTATAACTAAGAAAATATTTAAAAATAAATAAATAAAACAAATAAATAAAAGCATTTGCCACCAGATATGGTGGCATACACTTACAATCCCAACTATTCAGGAAGCTGAGGCAAGAAGATCACAGTGTGAGGCCAGATGAGGCAACTTAGTGAGGCCCTGTCTCACAATAAAAAATTTTTTAAAAAGGGGCTGAGGATATAGCTCAGTGGCACAGCATTTGCCCAGCATGTGTGAGGCACTGGGTTTGATCCTCAGTACTGTAAAAAGGAAAAAAAAAAAAATTTTTTTGTCATTGGGCTACGGGTATAGGTCAGTGGTAGAGTGCTTGCTTAGCATGTACAAAAGGCCCTAGGTTCAAGCCCCAGCATTGGGGGGAAAAAAATCTGTGATCATTTGCAATTGATTATCTCTGTGAATCATATTTTTTGGATATAACACCTAAACAAAATTTAGAAATAGATCAGGTGATGAAGCCATCATCCAATAATCCTCCTTAAAAAATTTTTATATTCATTAAGGTAGTTTTAATATTCTCATTGATAGATTTCATAATAGATAAATACTCCAGCTTATAAGGGAAACCAACATCACCAAAATTTGTTGAGGTGTTTTTTTTTTTTTTTTTTTTTTTTTAAAGATCCTGTGTTAAGTGTGTACCTAGCATGCATAGGCTCTGGGTTCATGCCACAGCACCAAAAATAAACCCCACAAAGAAAAAAAAAAACAAAAATGACTGGGCTGAGGATATAGCTGTGGTAGACTTCTTGCCTAGCATGTGCAAGGTCCTGGGCTCAATCCCAGTATCAGGAAAAACATAAACAACTATAGTACTTTTAAAAAGTGTGAAAAATGACTGATCTAAAGTAGGAGTCATCAAATCAGAGCCCACTGGCCAAATTTGGGCCTTTGTCTGTTTCTGTACATAAAATTTTATTGAAACACAGCCACAGCCATTCATTTATATATTGTCTATGGCTGCTTTTGTGACACAATGGCAAGAGGTTTGTAATTGTGACAGAAAGCAGATAGCCTGCAAATGCAAATATTTACTATCTGGCCCTTTATAGACTCCTGATCTAATCACACACTAAAATCTGCTGAACTTAGAGGTTTATGTATTAGAGTAGAAGACACCAGTTCTCTGAAATATTGTCACTTCTGGAGAATTCCAATAAATCTTTAAACTTTAGAGTACTAAAGAAAAGTAGCCATTCTCATGAGAATAAAAGAAAGTACACTTTTTCTTAAGCATTTAATTGACTTTAGGAGTGCACTATCATAGTCTGGTCATAAAACCTATGGATTCCAATTAATAACCAGCAAGTGAATTCTGTTTGAAAGACTTGACAGCCAGAGATTATTCATACATCTAGATGCAAATACAAGTATTTGTCTCTGGTGTACAAATACTGACTCCCAAATACCAAACTTCTCCCTGGATATAATGCTTTTATCCATCCAGGGTGACTGGAGCTTAAAGATGATGCATAGCAATCTCATCCACATGTTTAAAAGAGAAAAAGAAATCATTGAAATGAAAATCCTATTTTTAAATTTTCTGTATTAATTTGGTAGTAGCCCAACTAGTCCAATTACTTTTCCCATCATGAGAAGAAATTTTGCAGAGTGAAAAAATGCTATATAGCAAAGAGGGAAAGAGATCAGGTTGAGAGAAGACTGCTTTGCGGATCCTCTTTGTTTTCAGATCCACCCTTGATTTTGACATTAATTAAACAAAAAGTTATCACCAAAGGCCAAGAGCAAAGAATGATATTCATTCACTATGTTTTAAAGAATTTGTACTCACCTGTTTTGGCTTGGGAATCAGGTGCTGTAATTTCCATGATGAGATTTTCTAAAGAAGTGCCTTTGCAATTGATTTCTTCCACCAGAGTTCCCTTACTTGCCCAATCAATAAGGATACCCTGTTTAAAGAACAAAAGAGCTCAATGTAACATATAGAGGTCTCCTCATACAGGGACACCTGTTCTACATATATTTCCTAAAGTTTTGACAAGCATCAAGAAATCATACTCATATTCAGCCATTTCAAGATCTTGGTCTTGGCAGCAAAGATGTGGGAGAAAGTTATCCTGGAATTTTCAGGACCTTCTGATTCATTTCATTCAATGAAAGAAAAATCCCATTCTGGAAATTGAACCTAGGGACATGTTACCACTGGGCTACACCTCTCAGTCTTTTTTATTTTGAGACAAAGTTTCATTAAGTTGCTGAGGCTGGCACTGAACTTGTGATGTTCCTGTCTCTGCCTCCCAAGTAGCTGGGATTACGGGCATGTGCCACTGTACCCAGCTTCATTTATCAATTTATTAAGCATTTACTATAGGTCAGGCACCATGCCAAACACTGGGAATACAAATTAAGATTGACATAGCTCCCCAAACCAAAAGCTCAGATTATTCATCACATTATAATGTCATAAATGTTAGTACAGAGATATGGTCAGTCAACTCTTGGAGCACAAGAAGAGACACATCTAACTGCCAAGAGAGAGAAAAGCTAGAGTTAAGACAAGATTTGTCAGGTGGACAAAAGTGAGCAACATGTATGTAAAGAACAAAAAAGAAATGATAACTAGAGGGTAAACAAGGAGTTAGATATTGAGATGTACATAAATACACAAACTCATAGGCAACACTTTGCATTTTTCAAATTTAGGTTTGAGACAGAGCTTGTGCTCTCATAGAAAGTCATTAGGAACAAGAGCATCTGCTCTAAGACAAAAGTACCAGATCATGCTAAGTCTCTGAGATGTGATGGCTTGCTATAGCAGTACAAGTATACCTCTTTCAAAGTGGGTACCCATTCTAGCCTTCAACCCCTTGCTCTGCAATGAAAAGCCCTGATCATTAAATCAGTTTTCTTTTAACTCCAAGCTACAGAGTAGAAGCAGAATTACAGAAATATCAACATCTAGCAAGCTCAAGTGGCCTAACTCCAAACTAACCTGTGGTCACTGCTTGTCAAATCTTCCATTAACCACTTGTTTTCTAAGGGCCACAGTCCAAAACTATGCATTTATAAGCAGGATATTAGAAGTTTTTGAGGGAAATACAATGACATCTGTTGGATACATGCGAGCAACTACTATTTAGTTGTTTGAATCTAAATATTTAGCATGTGGAAATACTAGGTTGTTTGGGAATTTTGTTGTTGTTTTGGTTTTCTTAGGGAAGAGACCTGGATGTACTATGAAAAGTTTCTTAAAATGCTGAGGGCACTGTGGACCAAGAAAGTTGGGAAACCTCTTTCCTAGGGAATTCCAACAGGAAATGCTTCTGGTACCTCTCTGTGACAGTAATCATCTGCTCAAGATAAACTCTGCTTTATTAAGACAACATGGATGAATATATGAGAGTTATTTACAGGCAAATTTGGCTTATTACAACAAAAAGAAGAGATATTTCAGAGGTACAAGTAGAGGCCAGTTTATTCTGAATCAAAGATGGTACAAAAGGGATCCTTGGGCTAGGGATATAGCTCAGCAGTAGAGTACTTGGCCTAGGCGTACATATAATGTCCTGGGTTTATCCCCAGCACTGGCAAAAAAAAAAAAAAAAAAAAAGAAAGAAATACAAAAAGAGGGGAGGTTGTTCTCTAGGGGATAGGAGAAAGACTGATCTCACGCTCAAAGGCATCACTCACCCACTTGCTTCTAACTTTTCCTTTATTGGACTGAACTTTGACCAATGTGGTACTAGAAATTAAACTCAGGGGCACTCTGCCACTGAGCTACATCCCCAGTCCTTTCTATTTTTTATTTTGAGAAAGGGTCTCACTAAATTGCTGAGTTTGACCTAGAACTTGAGATACTCCTGCTTCAACTTCCTGAATTGCTGAGATTACAGGCATGTATCACTGTGCCTTTTTTTTGTTGTTGTTGTTGTTTTTTGGTACTGGGGATTGAACTCAGGGGTACTCAACCACTGACCCACATCCCCAGCCCTATTTTGTATTTTATTTAGAGACAGGGTCTCACTGAGTTGCTTAACACTTCACTAAGTTGCTGAGGCTGGCTTTGAATTCACAATTCTCCTGCCTCAGCCTTCCAAGCCTCTTGGATTATAAGCCCCACAGCTCCTGGCCCAATTTTTTTTTTTTTTTTAATGATGTCTTTTTATAATTCATCACAGCATGGGAGGCAACTAAGAAAGAGTTGCAACTATATCATTCTCAGATGATTTGTTTGGTTTTGTTTCTTTAAGTAGGAGATGTTATGGTGCTCAGTGCTGGATCAGGGCAAGTAGGAATCACTCAAAGAGAATGGAGGAATTTCTATTCTGATGCATATGGAAAATTTGGATTTCTCATATGGCCTCCCCTCACAGCTAGAGATCAATTCATACAAGCTTCTAAACTACTGTCTGGTGGGATTCTTAGAGACCTACCTTCAGGTGTTCAATCAGCTTTTCCAGTTCTTTAGCACTCATGAAGGTCTCTGCAGATGGAATACTCCCTTCGGTTTCTTTGAGCCATTTTTGGAAGGTCCTTATCAGTTTTCGGAACTCATCCAGCTGCTCCTGGCAAGATGATGCATCTTTCTCTCTGTTAACAAAAGACATTTTGTTACTTGCCAGACAGAGCTTTGTAAAATCAACTTAAACTAAAACTAGGTTCATTCTGGGACCATAGGCATCAGTAACCTAAAAGGGTCCTTTCTTCCCATAATCTGTTCCATAGGGAGTTTGGTTGAACAACCACATATAATGTAGGAGAGCACCAAACTACATAATCTGTTGCCCTTGTGTGGACACTTCTGGGGAATAAAGTCTTTAGTCTTACTCTATGCTGAAGTAAAAGTGAGAAAAACTATAGCAAGCCTGCTATTTAGGTATTATGATACAATGGAAAGAATGTAGGCTTTGAATATTAATTCTAGCTCTGATATATTTTAGGTATTTGACTCTTTCAAGGCCCAGCTCAAACACTGAATCTGAGGCACAGATACGTTAGGTGATTAGCCCTAGGTTAAGCATATTTATGAATAAAATAAATCAAGGAGAAGGTTTTGAAAATGGCCACAGCTACCAGTCAGATATAAACCCAGAACCTTGGTTCCTCACAGAGAAGGAAGGCCATCAACAAGGGAGAAGAAAAACAAAGCTTTCGTGGCCTTTGTCTTCAAACCCTTCACTGCATAACCTGTTGCTTAGTATTGGTTGGAGCAACTGCTTTCCTCTCGTCACTAAGGCAGTCACTGAGTAAATAAAAATAATATTTGGCTAAAGATATATATGATCAAGACATATATGGCTAAACCAAGATAAGAAGTCTTGTTCATGGTTGGGAGCGGTGGCACATGCCTGTAATCCTAGAAGCTGAGGAGGCTGATGCAGGAGAATCACAAGTTCAAAGCCAGCCTCAGGAATTTAGTGAGGCCATAAGCAACTTAGTGTTTGTCTTAAAACAAAACATAGAAAGGGCTGAGGATGTGGCTGCCTGTTAAGCACCCCTGAGTACAATCCCTGATACAAAAAAAAAAAAAAAGTCTTGTTCATGCTCTGATACCTATAAGTTTCCTAATAGGGAATCTTTGTTTTTCAATAGTGAGCTAAAATCAGTCAACCTTCATCATATAATTCCTTATTTGCCTTGAAAGAAATATCTGGATACTCCTCCAGAAGAGCGATCTAATGTGGTTCAAACAAGCATGGAAAGTGCAAATATAGCCCCTAAGTATGTCTAGGAAGTCTACTACAATTTTTCTCTTTATTTCAAATTCTGCCATACTCCCATTTACTGCCCTGAATTTGTTCTATTTGGTCCAGGGACGTGGGCTTTCTGTCATCTAGAGTAGGAACTTATCCCGTTATTGAAAAGGAATTCATTAGAAATAGAAAAACTATTAAGCATCAAGTGAAGTGTGTAACTTTGCCTTAAAAAGGCACTTTCTGGCCAATGCTCAGTGGCAGAGTTCTGGATGCCATCTTTTCTGGTAAAGCAGGAGAGAACAGAAGATCATTTTATCACACAGCCCAAAAAAAAAAAACAACCTCACCTTTCTTGGACTGTTTTCTGTAGCTCTGCAAAGTCCCTCTTGAGGTTCTGTACCCTACCCTGGTGTTGGGACAGGTCCAGTGCAAAGCCACAAGAGCCCAGTGCAGTGACCAAGTGTTCAAGAGTATCCAGGTTCTCCTGTTGGTCTGTCATTTCCAAAGTGAGCTCCTATCAAGCAAACAAGAAAAATGTATTAAGTTCTTTGACCCTGGAAAATAAATATGGTCAAAAGATGAAAGATAGCTGAAAATCTAGGGAAAATTCACCTTACTCTGTAGAAAAGGAGAGGGCAAGAGTCATGCTTGTTAAGCCAACTGGTAGATCAAAATATTAACCTCTCCAACCCAATGGAGAGTGGCTAAGAATTGCAAAAACTCTTGTCTCCTTTAAAGAAATGTTTGCAGACTTGGAAGGAAGCATGACAGAGTCAAAAGAATGAAGGTTTTAGGAGTCAAAAAGATCTGAAATTCAATCTATACCACTTACTCATTTATTATCTTAAGCCACTAAATTTCTCTAAGCTTTCACAGTCTCTTTTATAACATGGAGCAAGCACACTATTTCCACCAATATTTAACACTTTACTTTTAGATGTTAGTCAATACAATTAATGGAAAACAATTTGTGGCATAAGAACTAAAAAAGGAGAGGTTACACTGTATTTACAGATTATATATGAAAGTATATTTCTAAAATCCAGGAGAATCAATTATATGATTCGAAGAATGAAGTAATAAGGTCGCAGGGTATAAAATCACATAAAAATCAAGAATGAAAATTTCACTTACAATATAAATAAAAAGGTTCAATCTTATTCATCAAGTAACAAGAAACATATAAAACCTAAACAAAGCATTCCTGAAAGACACAAAGGACATCCATATATATACATATAAATAAATATGTGTGTATATGAATGTATATTTACTGCAACTTGAATAAAAATATCAACAGGCTTTTTCTTTAGAAATAATAAAGCTGATTCTAAAGTTTACACAGAAAAATAAATTTATAATTTAGCTATGAAAAATCCTGGCTGCATGTGGTGGTGCATGCCTATAATCCTAGCAACTTGGAAGGCTGTGGCAAGAGGATCTCAAGATTTTTTTGTTGGTACTGGGGATTGAACTCAGGGGTACTTGACCACTGAGCCACATCCTCAGCCTTATTTTGTATTTTATTTAGAGAAAGGGGCTCACTGAGTTGCTTAGCACCTCACCATTGCTGAGGCTGGCTTTGAACTCGCAATCCTCCTCCCTCAGCCTCCCGAGTCACTGGAATTACAGGTGTGCTCCACCATGCCCAGCAGGAGGATCTCAAGATTAAAGCAAGTCTCAGCAACTTACCAAGGCCCTAAGTAACTTAGTGAGATCCTGTCAAAATAAAAAGGACAGGGGATGTAGCTCAGTGGTAAAGTGCCCCTGGATTCAATCCACAATACCAAAAAAAGAAAAGTCCTGAAAAAAATAAATAAATAAACGAGGACAAGTAGCCCTACCAGATACTAAAACATAAAAGAAAGCCCCTATATTTAAAAGAAGTATACTATGGCACATGAACAGACATACCATTCAAACAGAAAAGAAAATCTAGGGTTCGGGCTGGGGTTATGGCTTAGCATTAGAGTGCTCGCCTCGCTCGTGCAAGGTCCTGGGTCCAGTCCTCAGTTTATATATATATATATATAAGAAAAAGAAAGAAAGAAAGAAAGAAAATAAATCTAGGGCTGGGGCTGTAGCTCAGTGGAAAAGCGCTTGCCTAGAACACATGAGGCACTGGGTTCAATCCTCAACACTGCAAAAAAATTAACAAATAAAATAAAGGCATTCTGTCCATCTACAACTACTAAATAAATAAATAAATAAAATTTAAAGAAAGAAGAAGAAAAGACCTTTGGGTCTCACCTGGTGTGAGATGAAATCTTAGAGTGGTTTTGATTTGCATTTCTCTAATTGCTAGTGATGATGAACATTTTTTTATGTATTTGTTGACTGACTGTACATCATCTTATGAGAAGTATCTCTTCAGGTCCTTGGCCCATTTATTGATTGGGTTATTTGTTTTTTTGATGTTTAGCTTTTTGAGTTCTTTATATACTCTAGTGATTAGTGCTCTATCTGATGTGTGAGGGGTAAAGATTTGCTCCCAAGATGTAGGCTCTCTATTCACCTCACAGATTGTTTCTTTTGCTGAGAAGAAGCTTTTTAGTTCGAGTCCATCCCATTTATTGATTCTTTTTTTTTTAAATTTTAATATTTATTTTGGGAGAGAAAGAATTTTAATATTTATTTTCTAGTTTTCAGCGGACACAACATCTTTGTATGTGGTGCTGAGGATCGAACCCGGGCCGCACGCATGCCAGGCAAGCGCGCTACCACTTGAGCCACATCCCCAGCCCTCATTTATTGATTCTTGATTTTAATTCTTGTGCCACAGGAGTCTTATTAAGGAAGTTGGGGCCTAATCCCACATGATGGAGATTAGGGCCTGCCTTTCTTCTATTATACGCAGGGTCTCTGTTTGTATTCCTAAGCATACTACAGAAATACAGCCAAATCAGTGTTTATAGCAGCACAATTCACAATAGCTAAACTGTGGAACCAACCTAAATGCCCTTCAATAGATGAATGGATAAAAAAAACGTGGCATATATACAAACAATGAAATATTACTCAGCAATAAAAGAGAATAAAATCATGGCATTTGCAGGTAAATGGATGAAATTAGAGAAGATAATGCTAAGTGAAATTAGCCAATCCCAAGAAACCAAATACCGAATGTTTTCTTTGATATAAGGAGGCTGATTCATGGTGGGACAGGGAGCGGGAGCATGGGAGAAATAGACGAACTCTAGATAGGGCAGAGAGGTTGGAGGGGAAGGGAGGGGCCATGGGGTAATTAATAATGGTAGATTGTGATGATTATTACTATCCAAAGTACATGTATGAAGACACGAATTGGTGTGAATATACTATGTATACAACCAGAGATATGAAAAATTGTGCTCGATATATGTAATAAGAATTGTAATGCATTCTGCTGTCATATATAAATAAAAAAATTATATAAAAATAAATAAATAAAGATCCATCAACAACTTTAAAAAATAAAAAAAGAAGAAGAAAAGGAAATCTAGAAGATGATTCAAATATATATGGAAATTCAGTATATGATAAAATGGCTTCTCAATTCTAGGGAAAAGTCAGACTCTTCAATAAATGGTAGTAGGAACAACTAGACAGATCTTTGGGAAAAGACAAACTTGACTCATACTTTAGAATTAAATTTTGAGGGCTGGGGTTGTGGCTCAGTGGTAGAGCGCTTGCCTCGCACGTGTGAGACCCTGGGTTCGATCCTCAGCACCACATAAAAAAATAAACAAGTGAAATAAAGATGTTGTGTCCAACTACAACTAAAAAAATTTTTTTTAAAAAGATTCAAATGTAAAAAAAGGACTAAAACACTAGTTAGAAAAATGTGAAAAGACATGAACAGTTCACAAATAAATGATACCTAAATGTATAAAAAGTAAACTCAACTTCACTTGTAAGAGAAACAAAAATTAGAACCAAATTTAGATGCCATGTCGTATCTATCAGACTGGCAGAATTTCGAGACTTGCTAAGACACTGTTGGTGAGAATGTAGGGGAAACAGTACTTACTAGGTCAGGTTGAAGTCTCTATCAACCTGCATTCTTGAGTGGTTAGGATAAGTTGAGAGTACTCCTGCTGATCTAGGCTGAACATGTAATATGAATGAAAAATAAATCTAGGCAGTATTTTTTCTTTAAACTTTTTTTTTAAGTTGTAGGTGGACATAATACCTTTATTTTTTAATTTTTATGTGGTGCTGAGGATTGAACCCAGTGCCTCACACATGCTAGGTGAGTGCTCTTCCTGTGAGCCACAACCCCAGTCCTAGACAGTGCTTTTTAAAACTGGATAAATAACATAAAGTTTACAGGATGGCTGTAATAATTCTCTAAAATAATGCAGATAAACAATATGTGCTGTCCAACAATATGTGCTCAATAAATGTTAGTTCACTCCTTGCCTTTCTCTCCCCTTTATTCTGCCAACATGGCAGATATATACTCACCTGGATCTGCTGGGAGAAATGTGCAATATCTTGATCTGGTTGATTCCCAGAGGCCAGCATCCGACTTTTGTTTTCCATGAACTGCTGCAGCTTGTTGGAAAGTTGTTCAAACATCTCTGCTTGGGGCAGTAGCTTCTTTAGGGTACTCTCCTTTTCTTGCTGCTGAAGCTGAAGCTGCTCAAAGTGCTGGCTTGCCTCTACCAGTTTCCCCTGCAGCACTGCTGCTGTGGTGTTATCTGCTGTTTCCATGAACTGGGTCACCATCTCACGGGTGGCCTCCAAGCTGCTCTTTTGTCGAGCAATGTCCTGCTTCAATTTCTGTCATCAAGAAAGGGCCTATCAGCTTTTGGCTCACGTATTCTAGGATACCTGATCCACAGATTAATAACCTTCTAATAACTCCATGCTCACTTCCTCAAGGGCAAAGAAAAATGGCAACAGAACCTGAAGAATGCTACCTATCTTATTCCCTATAGTTCTCTACCCATTCCAGGTGACTTTGTTATCACCTTTTCATCAGGCTCAACAGTAGTTTTGAAACTGAGAAGAATTACCTGTTTTTTTTTTTTTTTTTTTAGGTCTGAGGATCAAACTTAGGATCTCATACATGCTTTAAACTTTCGATCCTCCTCCTGTCTCAGCCCCCCGAGCCACTGGGATTATAGGCATGTACCACCATGCATGGCCACCTCTAAATCTTATTAGAAGATTTATGAATGTAAATTTTTCTCCTGTTGCTTTTTCAAAATTGTAAATATGGAACATGGCAAACATTGTTTATAGTAACTCTTGGAACATAGGTCTTACCATATTATTGGCCAGGGCTTCTTGGATGACTCCTGATGAGAGTGATGCCACCTGCTCCCCTTCTAGGTTCTGTTCAACTTCCCTGATGGACTGCAACAGGCTCTCCAGGCTTTCCTGGACACTTTGAGACTGGGCAATTGCCTTCTGTAGCAAAGCAGAGCGCTCAGCCAGGCTACAGGATAGGCTTTGGAAGTGGCTGAGTATGGAATCTAGAAAACCAAGGCCATCAGAGGAAAGAGTGGGTACTCTTTTTGTGTTGTGCTTCTAAAAATAATGTATTTAAGTTGTACATATTAATGATAATAATAATCAACATTAAGAAAAATGAAGGAATATATCTGAAGTGCATTATTTTTGGAGGTAAATTCAATAAGCTTTAGTTATTTGGTACTAAGAACCAGAAATTGTGACAGATGCTGAGGACTAAAAAGAACATGAGGTCTCTTTCTCTACAAACTTAAGACTCTAAAACAGAGCACAGGTAGAGGAAGGAACATTACAACTAAGTAAAAACAAAGTCATAAATGCTGTACTTGTATGAGAAGTACGTCTTAGAGAAGCCTAGAAGGAACAATTATTATTTCTCATTTTTTATTTCTTTTAAGGAATGGGCATGGTGGTTAGGATTTTATAAGGAAGTAATCTCTTAGTTACCTCTCTTTCTCTCTCTCTCAAGACAATTAAGAACTATATATTTATGGTGTACTATATATACATATTTAGTAAAAACTACACATATGTATAAATTTATGGTATACAAATGATGTTTTTAAGATACACGCACATTACAGAATGGCTAAATCAAATTATTTACCATGCACTTTACCTCATGTATTTATCACTTTTTGTCTTGAGAACACTAAAATCTACTCTCTTGGCCATTTTCAAGTATATAAAATATTGTTACTAATTATAGTCACCATGGTATCCTTGGCTGCTTCTTGAAAAATAAGCAAGACTTCATCATGCATGTTTATCATCATGAAAAAACGTTAGCAGCTAAGACATAGGAAGAACTTCAGGGATAATGTAACACAGAAATGATTGGGTTGCTTGGGAAATAAAAGGAATAGGTTGTGGCTAGAAGGTAGATGCCTGGGTAAAAGGGTGAAGCCAGATTGTAAAGGTCTTTTCTCAATACTGCAAGAATAAAGCTCACTGGGTGATGGGCAATTTGATGAATTTATGCTTACTTGTGTCTATATCCTCAGCCCCTAGCCTAGCGCTTCAGATACTTGTATAATACAATGTGCTACATGTTGTCAAACAGAGGTTTTTACTAGAATTAAGGAAGCACTATTGCTTCATACCTGTAGTTTCTTGAACATGCTTAGGATCCAAGGATGGCTCCCCTTCAATTTCCATGAGATCATGAGCTACTTTTTGGAGCTTTTCTACAGGTACTTGGTGCTCAGCCAATTCCTCCTGTAGCTGCTGCTTGTTCATGAAAGAAAGAAAAAAGACATCTAGGTGAGTAATCAAAGTTGATTCTAGGAACCTAGAACTATAGGAGCATTCTAGGATAATTCTCAGTTAATCCGTAGTCATAGATAAGAGAATGAACGACTCTAGATATCTAGTCCAAGACATCCCAATTATCACCTTTAATCTGGGCAGTTTAAATCACGCAACACAAGGCCTTGATAGCATTCAGGTGGGTCCAGGCTTACCTTTGTTGTTGCAAGCTGCTGTTGCAGGACTCCAGGGTCAGAGGCAACAGTATCTGAGAGAAGCTTCTCCACACTGGCCTCACAAGTCTGCAGCCAGGCTTTTAGGCTGTCAGCACTGCTCTGGAATTGCTGATATTGGCCTAGCAGCATGTTAAGGTAAGAGCCCAATCGAGTACACTGTACCAGAGAAAGAAAGGAAAGGAAAGCTTTAATACAGCTAAAGAACAGCTCCCTGGGCCAACTCTGCTACAAAGAATTCACTATAACTTCACATATAAGTTGTTCCAGTTACTCTGGATAGATGGGTAGCAATCATCTGCAAGTGGGGTCCTCACTGTTTGCCTCATATTATTCACCTCAACCTTATTAAATACCCAGGAAGACTTAATGAGTTCAATGGCATGCCACCAAAGAAATAAACATTACGTTGCAAGGATTTATAGATTGAAAAAGTGTTCCCCTTTGGGAATTGGAGATGTTGGCAGAAAGCATAAAACAGGTAAGAATTGACTAGATTCTAAACTTTAGGTGGAAGAGGGAATTCTTTGGATAGAAAAGATTAGGACTCAACTCTCGATACCCTGTTCAAAAATTAAGATTGTACAATTGGTTTAAATTTCCCTGCACTATGTCTCTTGGAAGCCAAAGATGCTGATCAGAATACAAGAAGGTGAGTACTTCCACCTTCACGACTGATATGAGACATATTCCCAAAACTGCTCGGGTCAGGCTTAGTTCACAGGCTTATACATTCTGCATTTTTTGCATAGTTTGTGAAAAACCTCTGTCTGTGGTTTATATATTGCTTGCCTACATACTCTGGGGTTCTTACTTTAAGCTCTAGAAACCACCCATGGTTGTGTGAGGGCCACCATGATTGTTTCCCCAAAGGCTGCCAGGTTTCCCCTTACCTTTGAGTGGAGAACAGTATATCTTTCTGTGGCATCCTTTAGCTTCTCTTTCACTAAGTTTCTAGTTGTTGATGGTTCTTTGCCTTCCTCAAAGCTGTTTTCTGTGTCCAAGACTTTCTGTCCTGAGATAGTCACAAATCTTAAGTCTCCTTTGTGGGAAATGACATCCTCTGAGAAGCTTCCCTGCCTCTTCAGCAAGGAGGGCAGGGCTTGAGGGCTGTTGTTTCCCTTGTGCATGTTCTCCAGCTCTTTCTCAGAACGTTCTAGCCAGCTTTCAAACTCTCGGTGGTCCTGCAGAAATTTCTGCAGTTCATCCCGGAGTGTCTGCACCTGCTTCAGCTCCGCCTCTGACTGTGCGAGGGAAGCTACATATTGTTCCTTAAGATCTCCTAACTTCTTTTGTAGCATCTGTTGTTCCTCGGTTGTAAGATTGTGGCCCTGCTGGTCCAGGAACGCCTGAGCTGACTGGGTAGCCAGAATGAAATTTTGCTGCTGGGATAGCAATTCTTGGTGATGGGCCTGGCGAATAACCACCCAAAATAAAGAATAATCAGTAGGGAAACCCAAATGATTTGTCTGCCTACATCCAGAGGTAGAGAGAAATTTTTACCTATACCTCAATAGGTGACTGTAGGTAGACAATACCCATATTAAAGATGAGATATGTGAATACCTAAAGATGTTACATGTCCTTACTAAAGTCATGCAGACAGCTAAAGGTCAGAACTGTGACTAGAACTTAATGCTCTCACTAGAGCTAAGGCTACAAGAATATACAAAAGCCCAATTAATAACCATCTATGACAATGCAAGGGGTAAGTAACTGGATGAGTCATATGTATGACAATATAAAAGTACAAATACTTAACTGTGAAACATGTCAACTCATATGCCATGAAGATTGATTCTACTGGGAAATACCTTGGAAAATTAATTCATTAAATGGAAAGTAAACTGTATTTCTAGATAGGATAGGTAATTTGTATTTTGTTTTAGTAATGTACTATGTCTACAGGCTTATATGACCACTTTTTTTTCTATTCCACTACATAATTGTGGGGTTTTGCTTTGTTTTAAAACACAAAATAGGAACAGATCCTGGGGAAGGAGATACTAGGAACAGTAAGGCATGTTAAAGAATTTGTAGTTAATCTTGGGACCATTAAAAGGGTTATTCAGGGATATAGCATTTTAGAAAGATCATTTTAGAAAGTATAGGGAATGGTGTGAAGGATAAAAGCCAAGAGGCAAGGAGACCAGCAGAAGCTGCTAAAACAATACAAGGGAAAGTTGAAAGTCATCTAAACTAGAAATATCTCAATGGAGATGAAGCCATGTGGATAACTTTGAAAGAGACAGGAAGCATGGGACTTGATACAGGAGAATGAGAGACGTAAATCCAGGATGACGTTTAATTCAGGCAATTAAGTGGGAATATAGGAAGGGAAACACAATTAATTTTTAGGTTGAGGTGATTGTGGTCTCAGTCTGCCTTAAAGAGGCAGATGGATTTATGTATTTGTTTGAAGCTCTGGTCTGGCATCAGAAGTGGAGAGAAATATACACATTAGTGAGACTGGTAACAGAACTGTTACCAGACTATCCAAGCAAAGTATATTCTGAAAGAGGAGAACAAGGCCTGGGATTTACCTATAAGCATAACTGTTTCAAAAGCTAGACAGAGTGAAAAAAACCAGAATGATTAGGCAGAGTAGTGCTGTGGAAACCAAGGGAGAAATTATTTCAAGAGGAACAGCCAACAGTATCAAAGCTACTGAGAAAAAAAAAGAAAAAAAGCTACTGAGACATCAAAGAAGACACTGGATTCAGGGGCAAGGTGATTGTGATACCTTCACCAAGGCAGAAAAGATTCCTCTGGCATAGTGAAGACAAGCTAACATCCTCACCTTTATCTTCTCACATTGCCTGTCCAATTTCTCTGGGGCTTGGTTTACCCCCATGTAACCATCAGTGGTATCCAAGGCTCCTTTCTCCAGGCCAGCTCTAGAGAGTTGCTCCATCCCTGAAAGACTAGTCTGTGGCTGTCCACCAGATGGTCCCACAGATGTCATCCAATCCAAGAGAGCATCAATCTTACTCCTATTCTCAGCCAGTTCTTTTGCTGCTTTACTCTAAAAGTCATAGAAGTAGTCCAGTGACAAGGCCTTAGATACTCAAATATAAAAACACAGATAAGTAAAGGTATATGGGGGGTAAGGGTGAAGGGTTATACTAAAGAAAAAGAGACACTCTAATTCTGGGTATATAAAAAAATGAATTACTACTATCTTCTACAATCTGTTGAGAATAATTACTTAAAACAATCTCTAGATTGCATCTGTATCTTATTATTAAAGAAAAAAAAAGTTAGGGGGAACTCCAAGATTTAAAGTCCTTAAGAGATCATTTAGTCTTGCCACCCCAGCAAGGTTTCACAGAATTCTTCCTATGTATGCAGAAGTCATACAATGGCTTGGTAGAATAAGAAATAGCAGGGTCACATCCAATAATCTGGCTGCTCTTCCTGAAAGGAAAAGCAGACTTCACCCATTTTTATCTCAGCCAAACAGAATAGTTAGTTTTTAAATTTGCCTCTCAAATTCCATTTACTGGCTCTTCAAATATTTTAGTAGGTTATGCCAAGTTATATATTTCAAAATTTATCTTCAGGTAACTTATTTCTAATTTCCATGTTTCCTGATCCCTCATTAGTGTCAGAGTACAAGGCTGAATGAAGGAGTCAATCTATCTGCCAGCGTAAAGTGGGAGACAGAAGACCACTCAAGACTTTACCCTGCGTGTGATTTTTCCTGCCACCACAATTCACATAATAACTACAGAGGCAGCCTGGGAATAGCTTGTGGCCTAGAACTCTATAGTTATTTTCCTTTAATATCTTAGTTCACCAGTCTAGATTCATGTTAGAAACATACTCTCTGTTTTTTCCTCCTTTGATGATACCCTAAATTCTTTCATTTAGCCAGAATACAGATAGCAAGTTTTTTGTTTGTTTCTTTCTCTCTCTTTTTTTGGGGAATATACAGTTTTTATTAACCATTTCTGCCCTGAAGTCCTTCTAGATGTTTCTTTTAAAAAGAAAGACTGGCTCACAGACCAGCTTCTGAAGCAGCCCCTTTTTATGACTCTAAGTTGTCTGAAGGCAGTTTCCCCTCATCTTTTTTTTTTAAAAACAGTACTGAGGATTGAACCAGGGGTGCTCTACCATTGAGTTATGCCCCGCAGCCATTTTTATATTTTATTTTGAGGCAGAGTCTAAATTCCAAAGCCTGACCTAGATCTTGCCAGTCTCCTGAAAAGCCAGGATTATGGGTGTGTGCCACCATACCTAGGTCTCTCATCTTTTATGTAGGCACAAAATTTTCATTTGGAAAAACATTAAATATCACAGCAGTCAAGGTACCTTTTCAGTCTCCTGCTGTACGGCTGAGGTCACTGCTTGCTCCAGCTCCTTCTGGGCCACCCGTGTCCGTTCCTGGAGAGCCTCATATTGCTCCCTCGCCTGATGAAGTTTTTCCCGAAGAGCTGTCAACTCCTGGGGGCTCAGTTTGGTATGATTCTCTTCCAGGAACCCTTCGATGTCTTTGACAACAGTGGTAAATGAGGTGGCATGATTCTGAATATCATCCTGTAAATCCTTAACACATGAAAACAGGAATGGCAGAGCCTTCAACTTTAGTACTTGCAAGTCCTCTAAAAGTACTAAGATGGAATGGCTAGGATGACATATCTACATGTAGTCCCTGACCATAATTTATATAAGCTTTATACCTTAAACAAATGTAAAAAATTTTTTAAATTTAATTTTCTAAGCAAATATTTAGTGTAGACAAAAAGGAGATTGCCCATAAATATGCTGAATAGCAGAGATCTTCATTTTGCAATGAATTATCCTCAAAGTGATGATGCTAATCATGCTACTTAGCACGATTCTAACTGTTAAGGCTTGTTAGATTTTTTTTTTATACAGTAGGCCTCCTTCTCCACTGTTTCAATTTCTGAGCTTTCAGTTAGTTGAGGTCAAGTGTGCCACCCCCCCACCAAAAAAAATCTATGCAAGTTCCAGAAATAAGCAATTCATTCATAAGTTTTAAATTATATACCATTCTGAGTAATGTGATAAAATTACAATGTCTTCTCTATCCAGCCTGGGATGTGAAACATCCCTTCATCCAGTGCATTCATGTTGTACACATGAGCCATCTGTTATATACTTAGTAGCCACCTTGGTTATCACATCACCTGTTCTGGTGTTATAGTGTTTATATTTCCAGAAGGTTCATTTTACATAATGGCCCCAAAGCATAAGAGTAGTAATGCTCTTTATCCCAGTACATTGTTACACATGTTCTATTTTATTGTTAATTATTGGTTTTAATCTATTGCTGCATCTACTTTATCTTAAGTATGTATATACAAGAAAAACATAGTATGTATGGTTACCTACAATTTGAAGTTTCAGGCATTCACTGGATCTTTAAACATATCTCCCAAGATGGGGGGACTATTGTATTCTCTTGGTTATCACTCTGGCCTTATTGATCCCACCTAATTTTTCACTAAGTGTCCTTTTCTTCATTCTTTTTTTTAAAGCTATATGATCTATATCCCAGTCGTTTTTCGTTTTTTTTTTTTTTTTAATGGTACCAGGGATTGAACACAAGGGCTTAATCTCTGAGCCACATCCCCAAAACTTTTTTTTTTTAATATTTATTTTTTAGTTGGACACAATATCTTTATTTATTGTGTGGTGTTAAGGACTGAACCCAGGGCCTCACATGTGCTAGGCAAGGGCTCTATCGCTGAGCCACAATCCTATCCCCCCAGTACTTTTTATCTTTTTATTTATAGAGAGGATCTCACTAAGTTGTGTAAGGCCTTGCTAAGATGCTGAGGCTGGTTTTGAACTTCCAACCCTCCTGCCTCAGTTTTTCAAGCTGCTGGAATTACAGGCATGTGTCACTGTGCCCATCCCCCGTCCTTTTATATTTTTATTTTGAAAGAGGCTTTTGCTAAATTGCTGAGACTAGACTTGATCTTGTGATCCTCCAGCTTTACCTTCCTGAGTCACAGGATTACAGGCATGTGCCACTGTGTCTGGAAAGCCACCTTTTGTTCTTTGCAGCCCAGCTGAACTAGCTGTCTTTCAGTTTTAAATATGTTGTGTTCAGCCCCACTCACACTTTAAGACTGATGTATAAGCCTCTGCCAGTAGGTTTTCTTCCTCTCATCCCCTCATAAACTTAACCCTACATGTCTTTTGCTGCTCAGTTTAAGTGATATTTCATCAAGGTAATCTTTTCTTATACTCTAGACTAGACTGGGTCTGTTTGGTATAAGTTTATATATAACTTTACCTTTTTACATACAACAGTTAATAATTAGATGTTCATTTTTGTGATAATCTGTGTAACTGTTTTGTTTTCCCCACCAGCCTGTGAGCTTCATGATGTTTGTTCAACATTGATGCTGACACTAGTACTATTCCTGGCACATAGCAAGCCTTTTTAAACATTTGTTGAAGAAATTAAAAAAAAAAAAAAAAAACCAGAAATCACACTGACCTTCAAATCTCTTTGGTTCTTCTGCAAAGTAGAAAGATCTTGCCAGGAGGCACTGCCTTGGTGGCTCACCAGTGCCCTTTCTGCCTGTTTTACCCAACTGCAAAGATCCTCCAGTTTCTGATGACAGGTACTTTGCTGTTTCTGCAGAGTCTAATTAAAATGCAAAGGAGTCAAGAGACAATTAATAACTCCCATTTTACAAATGCCATTCCCTGAAATGCAAAATAGGAAGGTTATAGATTAAGGATGGAAAAGTTGATGAAAGACTAGAATGGGAAAAGGCACAGAAATCATATTCAGGAAGCTCCCCTCATTTGGGCAGTGTTGATCTGGGCCAGTGGTCAAGTTGACAGTCAGAGGTGCTTTTCAGTTCAGATTTGGAATTGGAAGTTCCTTTGCCAGAATTCAATTCTTATCTTTGGAAATGGAGAATACTGAAATCCAAACATGACAAAGGTGATGATAATAAATGAGTGATTCTGACCTATTCCTCCTCTGGAACTAGAGGATTTGCTATATATGAAGTCTAAACATGGAAAAGTACAAGAATTAGAATTGAAAGAAAAATAAAGGACTTGGATAATTCATAAGCTAATTTAGCTTCTTAATAATGAAGCTGACTTTATAAATCAAACGTCTCAGAACTGTAGAGACCCATTAAATAGAATGATTGAATGTCAAGCATAAAGAGCTTAATTTAACTATTTTGAGAAAGAAACTTCCCCAAAATAGCAACTAGCTCAGTCCTTTAGATGTCTACACTGTTTATCACAGGTAAAAAGCCAGGCCCTAGGAGAGAGAAGGTATATGTTTCTGTGCCTGATCCTTTCCCCAGATCGCATCTCAGCTGCACAACACTGAAGCACCTGATTGAGCAATTGAGCATGATGTGTTTTCCTAACCATCCTTCTAAAACCACTTTCCACCAGTTTCTGCCTTCTGATGGCATTTTAGTCACCTGCACTTACAAACAGGTGCCCAAATTGGCCCTCTCTCCCCCTCTTTAAGACAAATAGAAGGGCTCTGGAAGAGAACTCCTAAGAGCTCTTCAGCTGTAAAACGGGATCTTCATGGGTTAGGATGGGTGCAGACTGAATCTGAAAAAAGCAAAGCAAACAAGTTAACACAGAGACATACACACGCATTCAGGGCAAATATAGAAAGAAGCAGGGCATTTCTGACAATAACAAGGTTAATAGACAATGTGTAATTAATTTCATGCTCTGGGAGAATGTTCACATGCAGTTCTATCATAGGCCTATCTGAACCTGAGCTTGGTCTTAAAGTGGCTCAGACCAATTACTTCATTAATTACCCACATGCTACACCATGCTATATAAATTACTACATGAGGGCATTGCACATGTTCAGGTTTGGGAGGTAACCTTAAGCATTTCATTTCAATCTCAATATAGTTTAAACAACTAAGCAGTAGTTGGGAATATATGGCACTGACTAACCTAATTTCTTTTAAGTCTGACTCAAAAGCTCAATTACATTTTGCACAATATTTTAAAACAGAGCCCCTGAGATACAATTTCTGATTATAATGACAATTCTAATATCACCTTGCTATATCCCAACTTATTATTTAAGCAGTAGAAATACCATAAACAGCTGGATGTGGTGGTGTATGCCTGTAATTCTAGTAATTTAGGAGGCTGAGGTAGGATCATCACAAGTTTGAGGCCAGCCTCAGCAACTTAGTGAGGCCCTTAGTGAGACTTTGTCTCAAAAACAAACACACACACAAACAAACAAACAAACTAAAAAGGGCTGTGGATGTATCTCAATGGTAGAGCGTTCCTGGGTTTAATCCTCAGTATCAAAAAAGAAAAATCATAAACACACTATTTGAGGTATTCAAAGGTTATAATGTTTCTATTAATGAAATTATGATCAATTTGAGCTTTACAAGAAGAGGATTTGAATGGCAGATAGTAGTGTGGTTAGATTTTTTTCTTTTTTAAAAACACTGTTTCCCATGATTGACTAAATAAGCATTGGGCACTTTAGCATGAATAAAGGCACCAGAAAACAATAATTCAAAAGTGCTTAAAAAAATTAACACTCTGAAAAAAGTTAAAAAATTAATATTCTGATAAAAATGTCCTTATCAGCTGTTTCAAAATAGGAAAAGAAATCTATTGTGAAATCATATGGAAAGCCCTAGAATAAAACTAATTTTCAGAACCATTCTTCTTAAGAGCTCAGAGTCTTTGTATATTTTTCAGAGCCCTCAAAAGAATGATGAAGGTGAAAGTAATGGAGAGAAAGGGCTAGCTATGTGATTTTTATTGGAAAGTCAGAGACAATGAGACGCAGTGACAGTAGCATCTCAGTAAAATGAGAACACTTGCACATGAAATCACACATAAACACATAGATTCTCTCTCATACACACAAAACCAAAAATGTGGTAAGAAAACAGCTGGAACAGCTGCCTCCTCAATCAGAACCAAATAGGCCTGAATGACAAGAAATTTCAAAATTGCTAACTCCAGGCTCCTGCAATCATTGATACATGAAGGCTGGCCAGAAAACCCCCAAACAGAGGACATCCTAAAAGACAAGCTGAGCCCAGCTGCTGGTTCAGTCTGACCTTAACCCAGGTTTCCTGCTGCATTTGGTGAAGATGACCCTGCAAGGCATTTGTCTGCGCTGTAGTCTGTTCCATAAGATCCTGAAAGGACCTCTGCAGTTCATTCAAAAGCCTCAGCATCTGTCGATTCTGCTGAGAGGACAAGTCCTGTGCATGCTCTGAGATAAATAACTGAATATCAAAAGCAAGAGCATCCAGCTGAGATTTCCTTTCAGCCATGAGCTGTTTCAAATCCTAAGGCAAGCAGGAAAAGGGAAAAACAAACAAATAAATAAAACTTCTATTCTTCTATGAAAATCAAAGACTTAAAAGAATCAAAGAAAGGTAATTTCCTTTATTTTTACAACTGGCACTACAGTCAAACTAGCACTGGAAGTCTCTCTCACTTTCTATCTTTCCAACTCCTCATAAATCATGTTTCCTTTATTGGACCTTAATTTCCAAATACTAAGCTATCAATTATTTATGCTTACAGAATCACACTACTACTAATCCAAAATACATATGATTTTTAAAAAGGTTTTAGAATATATAACATGAATTTCTAGTCTAAGATGCATCTAATTGTACTTTCTTAGGTTCAAATATCTATCTGGATTTGTCAACAGAGAGTTACTGATAGGCCAGTACTAAGAGAACATAAAATTTAATTGTGATTCATTAAAATTTGATTTTTTAAAAAAAATATTTTTAGTTGTTAATAGACCTTAATTTTATTTACTTATTTATATGTGATGCTGAGAATCAAACCCAGTGCCTCACACGTGTAGGCAAGCAACTCACCGCTCCAGACCCATAAAATTTGACTTTTAAACAATGCCATTTATATATTTTATAGTCATACTTTCTTATTTTCACTCCCTTAAAGTAATAAAAACTGTCCAAACAGTAAAGTCATCTGCTTTCAGATAATCAAAAACATGCAATTTTCCCCCAAACATTTAGTGATTGTTCACTGTTATATTGGATGCAATCAAAACATTTAAGATGTTTTTATCTCTATCACACTGAAACAGAGTTATTGATCCTAGAGAGCAGGCAGAAGGGCATCTTGGATACTTATCATAAGAGAATGCTTTCTTCATCTGTGGGCACATGGGTTTAGGAAACTACCTTGACTACCATTCTCCTTCCTAAGAGAACTGGAAGAACCTATAACTAGGGGAGAGTACCAGTGCA